ATGTACACAGTAGTCCTGTAACTCCAAATAAAATGCCATTATTTGCATTGTCTTATCAATATGTTCTCAATTTTTTCCCTCATTTTTAATTATTATTGTTAATTTTAATGAAAATTTACAGAGACTTTGGATTTCCATTCATTCATTGTTGCACTTTTCTCCCTGCCCACCCCTCCCCCCCAGTTCGCTCTTCTCTTTGAAAAGTGAAAGAAAAGTTCCCCGTTGTTTTATAGTCCCTCCCCCAAGGTCCACTCCCCTATGCAGCCTTAGTTCTGGACTCCTGTATGACAATAATACATATCCCTTTTAAATAGTTTTCTCCATTATCTGTTTCAATGCAGTATACATTATTGAACCCATCTTTCTCAGTCTCTCCCCAACCCTGATGTCAGTCCCATTTTACAGCAGTGGCACCATGCAATATTTGTCCTTTTGAGACTGAGATATTTCACTCAGCATAATGTCCTCCAGGGTCACCCATTGTGAATACTATTGCCTGAGTTCCTTGTTTTTCAATGCAGCATAGTATTTCATTGTGTGAATATACCACAGCTTCTCTATCCATTCGTTTGCTGATGGGCACTTAGGTTGTTTCCAACTCCTTGCTATTGTGAACAAAGCCACAATACACATGGGTGTGCATGTATCTGATTGGGTGGCAGTTATGGTTTCTTTAGGGTAAATTCCCAGTAGTGGAATTGCTGGATCAAATGGTATTTCTATTTGCAACTTTTTGAGACAGCGCCACAGCACCTTCCACAGTGGTTGCACCATTTTACACTCCCACCAGCAGTGAATAAGAGTTCTAGTTTCTCCACAACCTCGCCAGCATTTGTTGCTTGCTGTTCTGTTAAATTTTGCTATTCTGACAGGGGTGAGATGATATCTCATAGTTGTTTTGATTTGCATCTCTCTTAGAGCTAGGGATTTTGAACATTTCTTCATGTGCTTCTTGGCCATCTGAATGTCTTCTATGGTGAAGTGTCTGTTCAGATCCTGTGCCCATTTTTCAGTTGGAATCTTTATCTTGTGCTGAGCCCCGGCCTTTTATGAATAAACTTCATTGTCATTATTAGCTATTGTCAAGTCAGTGCCAACTCAGAGCGACCCCGTGTGTGTGAGTGCAGAACTGCTCCATAAAGCTTTCAAGGCTGCAACCTTTAGGAAACGAATTGCCAGGCCTTCCTTCCGAGGCACTTCTGGTGAGTAACGGAGCATTTAATTGTCCTCCCGGGATCCTACAGAAGCACGCTGTGAGTTGGAATTCACTGGACAGCATCTAACATTGTTGTTGTTAATGAGTCAGAACCAACCCAGAGCTGCTTTTCAGAGTCTAAATCGCACGGGAGGAGAGTGCTCATACTTCTCTCACCGAGCAGCTGGTGGATTTGAACCGAGTGTCTTTAGGATTGCAATGCAGCTTCTTGCTACTTGGCCACCAGAGTTGCCTTCTAACAGCGTGGCTGCATCTGATTCTGTCAGACTGAGTAAGAGAGCCAGGAGAGTGACTGCTGTTGTCACTTGTCATATGCAGT